AACTTTTTTGATTTTAGCAAATGGCTGCAATGAAACAGTGAAATTTAAAGGGATCTGAATACTTTCTGTACCCACTGTATGTAACATGAAGGTAATTATTTGTTTTACAAAAGTTACTATTCCGTTGATCATGTAATATTCATTTTTTTTTGATTGAGATGCTGTATATGTTAACTATTATCTTTAATATTTTTTCTATTTTTTATTATTTCTTATAAAAATCTAAATCTGCTCATATCAGTCTAGTTTCTTTAAGAAAACTGCAGTCAAGTGTGTCTTTGGTAATAGTTGGTTGCTTTAGCAAATTATTAACTTTGATCTGCTAGGGTTGTTATATACGATAACCATATTTAAAAAATAAATATCAATATCACTTTAATAATACTCGTATGATAATATAAAAGTATGCAATCTGCCGTCTCTTAAATCATTTCATATACACAGTTCTCACAGCTCTCTCCACCTCTATACACTCCTGACTTAAATACAATTAATCTGCCACGAAAGAGACAAAGATTAATTTGATTTGATTGTCCTGTTTAAAAAAATAAGATAGAAGAAAAATATTACTGGCAATTTTACAGGCCAGGACTTAATATCAAGCAAGAATATAATGTGATGAATAACAAATCATGAATCGATGACTTCAGAGATCACAGTCTCAGCTGATGTACCCAAAGCTCCTCGTGATGATACACTTTCAGTTCACACAAACTCATCCTGTAACCCACAGCTCCACGTGGGTCCTCTGTACCGGGACCCTCACATCGGAACAGGAAGAACTCCCCAAAAAACCCTTTAACAGGGAGAAAAGAGGGAGAGACCTGTGGGAGAGCAACAGAGGAGGGATCCCTCTCTCATGATGGACAGAAGTGTGATAGATGTCATGTGTACAGAATGAACAGCATTACAACACATTCAATGCATATGACAGAACCACGGCAGGAGGCAAGACCAAGGTCCAGGTAGAACCAGGATCCACGGGAACCTGTGAGGCGAGAAAGCACAGAGACTCTGGTGAAGAAGCAAAGTCAGTAATGTGCATTATTGGTATAGGTAATATAAAATAGTAATGTGAGTAATAATAAAAATGGTAGTAGCAGTGGGTGTCAGCAGGGCCATGGCGGGAGGAAGGACCAGGAATACAGGTTAAAAAAACCAGTTCAATCACTTTTCACTCATTGCCCCCAATGGAGGAGGTCAAGATTTGGGACTTTAAATTGAAAACCATTAGAGTACAATTATAAATGTATAGGCTGCTGTACATGACCTGTGTTCTTTCTAAATTAACACCACAATAACAATTGTGGCATATTTTAACATATTTGAATTTTGAGCAATTTACTGGCATATTAATAAGAATATATTTTTTTTTTCCAGTATTGTTATTCAAACATTATTCATGTGAACTTGTGATTGTATTTTTGCTGAATCCATTTCCAAAATATGTGTGTATAGCTGCTGCCTCTGCTGCCGGCTTGTAACTAAATGAAGTTGTAACTAAATGAAGTCACTCTTCAGACTTGTGACGTGTTTCTCACCAAAAACGGATCCCTCCCACAAATAGATTTCAGTAACTTGTAACACTGGAGAGAAAAATTCACTTTGAGACAAAACCGTAAAATCTGTATGGAAGTGTTTGTTGTCCTTTAATAGTTGTAACCCACAGGAGACAAACCACAAATGTGTACCGTGATCCACCAATGAATCACTATCCACATGTAGTTTTGAATCTGGTGTTTTGTAGTCATATCCACCATTTGCAAATATGCATAACTTACGCTGAAAACATATTTTAATTTCACATAAAAGGATGTTGGTGGATCACGTGAAATGACTTCCACACATTTGCATTATAATTATTAAAATCAATTAGGAGGGAAGTCACAGATGTCACGTGGCTCACGAAATTACATTCACACATTTGTGGATCGTCTTGGTTACGACTTCTCAAGTCTAACAAAACAAACTTCCATAAATCAGTGACTTGTGGCCTGGACGTGAAAGAAAACATAAAACTCACGTCTTTACACTTTGTTTACAGCTTTATTTTTGCCAAGAAATAAATTACTCAACTTTCAAACAATATGAAACAAGCAAAACAACACGGCACATGAAAGTAGTGGAACATCTCCTCCACCAACACAACGCTTCTCCTCTTTACTCGATGAAGTGGCAAAACATTCGGCTGGTTTAGATGTGACTGATTGTGTTTAGTGTCGTCATGACGCAAGGCTACAGGTGAGTGTGCCCACCTGTGGGAGGGGGGGGGGGGGGTCCAAGGAGAAAACCCCAGCCCGCTGCACAGGCTTTAAAAAAACAAAAGACTTTGAAGTGTTCCACCAGATGTCTACGGAGGGGTTTCAGCTTCACCAGCTAATACTGACTATTGATTAGACACATTTAACTATTGTTAAACATGGCTTAAAATACACAGTGTCTAATAAAGAAGGGCAGTAAAATAAGACCAGTTCCTGTATGTCAAAACAAATACCATGGAGGGACGCGACACCTCGTTGTGCTGTTAATACTTGAGTAAAAAACTAAACAATATGTTCTGTGCGGTTTGTTTAAAGCTCTACAGGCTCAGACTCACTGTGGTTCTGACAGCTTTAGCAGAAGAAAACAAGACTGAGCGTCATTCAACATGACAACCAAATTATAAAAAAAAAAATTAAAAAGTGACATAAGTTTAGTCAATTTCAGAAAAAAATGAACCCATAACTCAGTGGCCCCTACATTAGGTTCACCTGGACAGACTGGTGCAGTTCAGTCCAACTGTTCCGCCATAAATTCTGCTTTTATGATGCCGTAATTAAATTACGTTTCAGCACTGACATCTTGGTGTTGTCTGGTACAACACCATCTTTAACTATGACCCTCAATAATAAACATAGAATTGAATTTCCACATTTATAACTACATATTAACATGCTGGTGTTAAGCAAAGTAAACTTGAGGCTGATGGAAATGACATCATTACTTTTCAGGTATCGGGTCACAAGTTCAAAGTATTGGCCAGATTCAAACTTGAACCTGCCGATGGGGCAAAGAAACGATCAGGGGATCAAAGTTATTATAGTTCATCCTCTGGTAACCACAAAGGTCTGAAATGTTCGCAGCAATCCATCCAGTAGTTGAGATATTTCAGTCTGGACCAAAGTGGTGGACGAACAGATTGATGGATCAACTTTGCAGCAAGCATGTCTTAAAAATTGTAAGTGTAGAACATTTTTGCACACAAATTATATCAACAGTGAGGTTACATTAAAATATCTTTTGAACATCCGAGTACAGAGTCAAAGCAGGAAACTGTGCCAAAGCGTTGTACCTTCAGCGTCTCTCTTTAGTGTGTCACACATGCACAGACAAAGAGGAATTACTGCAAATTCAGGCTTAACAGCTCGACGCTACAGATTGTTTCTGCAGATTTACTAACTTGAATTCTTCCTGCAGAGGGTTTTCACAAGGAGTCGTACACAGCCACAGGTTTTGAAATGATTTCTGAATATCATTTCACATCCGCAACATCGTTAGAGCCGTTAGAAAGTGCTGATTCTACCTGGAATCAAAGCAGAAGAAATACAGCTCAGGTGAGCAAATTAAGTATTAGTTTCTTAAGAGTCTTTAAAGGAAACATTTAGCCCAAAATCTTAATTTCATTAATTTCCTGGCACTCCTGTAGTTTACCTCAACCTGCCACGTCTAATTTTAACAGCAACCTACATTTCCCAGACTGCTGCTTTAAATCATATCTGGCCGTAAGGATGTGGAAATCCAACATGTGACCAACACGGGATACTGCGGTTGTGCACTCTTGTGTAAAGTTTGTTTTGCTGTTGCTTTGTATTCTGGGACAATTTCTGTAGGAACGAATGACTCCTCCATCTTTGTTAGAGAAGAAAAATGCACCATACGCCAAACAACACAAGTTACATCACCTGCAGCATATCAGTCATGGTTTTGTGTGGATCAGAGAATTATTTTAGCATTTCTACGGATCTGTTGGGGAAGATGAAATAAGTGGAGCTCACAGCGTTAAAGCTGCTAGAAAATAAATGACTCATTTCACAGTTCTCCGCGTACTTGAGGTGTAAAAACACAGGATAGTTTGCTCACTGGTCTGTGCATCAGAGAATAAAACTGCTTAATGGGATCGACTTGGGGAGTTTGTTTCATCTCAAGGTCTTAATAAGCACATTGAGAAAAGAGTTGCTCGTAAGAAGAAGTAGTCTGTTTGCAGTGTGTGATAGAGTGATAGTGACAGAGTGCCAGAAGCCATTTCAGCCTTTGGACAAACTGCAGGTGTGAATCAAAACCATTAAAAGTGAAAATCAAATTAGGCTAAAGTCTGAAGTATTGCTACTAAGTTGAAATAGAGGAGAGAGTCGCAGTAAATAAATGCTGTGTCAGCTCTATGGACGCACACTGAGAAAACATATTTTACAAAACAAAACAATGGAAAGAAAAACTGTTTGATTGATGAAAGTAACATTTGTCATAAATACTGAATAAATATATATTTTTTTAAATGAAATCCCACACATTCACTGTTGTCTTTCCTCTCCCTCTCAAGTTCAGTTCAACAGGAAATCAAAAAACACGCTCACAAAGTAAAGTCACCTATTGGGTCACAGCAGTAGTCGGGTGAATGGACGTATCCTCAGTGGTTTTTGCACTCAAAAGAGCAAAGCTCCTTTGATCCCAGTGCAGCTGATTCACCGTGTTGTGACCCAGCAGCTTTTTTCCCCTTCCTATTTATTGTACTAGTTTCTGCATCAGTAGCCCTCAACTCCCAACAACTGCCTCTGATAAACACTAAACACTTTTTTATGAATTATTTAATTAATTATGGATTTGCAGCCGATAAAAATGTGCGAGGCTCTCGAGAATAAAAGCCGAGAGAAACACAACGAGGGAAACAGCGTCTCTGTTTTCCTACTGGGAATTATTTCTACTTCAGTCTTTTCGTCTCGGCCTGAACTGCCCAACTGATAATCAAATCCAAAATGAAGCTGCAGGTTGTATGAAGCTCAATTGTCACATGGTGAGTGTTTAGGATCAAGAGTTCTATTGCTACGTATTCATTTTAAACACTAATGCATACAAAATACAAAAAGAAAAACAGTTGAGTTTATCCATATGTAGTTTTCCATGTTTGTTAAATATTAAAGATCTCATTTTGGATTCAGATTTAACACTCTACTGTATGTGGAGAGCATTCATCCTTCTCTTCATACACCGCCCAACATTCAGCTGAAGCTGGGGATTATGTCTTTATGTACTGAAGGGGATGTTCTTCACATTTGAAAAACAGAACTTCTGCTACCTGATGGAGAATCTTTGGCATTTCTGAGAAAATGTAGCACTGGCTCTACTACACACTACTGACCACCATTCTCTGCCTTTATAGCTGGAACAAAAAAGGTCACGCTATACAAAAACAATGAGGTCACTGGTTTAGGTAACAGCTAACTGAACGTGACCCTGGGCGGCTGTGGCTCAGGAGGCAGAGCGAGTTGTCTGAGTCCTATGGAAGATAGAAAAGTAAGATGGTGTGTTAGGGCCATTGTAGATACATTTTAGTCGGGGGGGGGGGGGGGGGGTAATATTATTATGAAAAACCTCAGAATAACCGAGATTAAAGTCGTAAATTCACGAGAAAAACCTCCGATGTTCTCTGAGAGAATATTGAGGATGCCCAACGGTACTGGAGCACGGCGATGTCTTTGCATCTGTCCATCACAATGTAGCTCCTGATGCACTAAAGACATCACCTCGTCCAAATCATTTGGGTGTTTTTGTTCTGAAGAGGCCCAGTTCACAGCAATGTCTCTTCACAATTTGCTCCCGAGGGTTGTGTCATCGGTGTGAATGTTAGATAGTCCTTATGGGCAGGTGGCACCTTGCATGGTAGCCCCTGTCATCAGTGTGTGAATAGGTGAATGATGACATGTTGTGTTTAAGCGCTTTCAGTGGTTGGAAGACGAGAAAAGCGCTATTCAAGTACAGTAAATTTAAAGTTTACCAAGAGTCTGCATGCTTGTGATAACATGGGGATTCTGGGATCAAATCAACAGTATTTAACACACCGTGATGTGATTGATCACAATTTTTCAAAGTTCATTTTGGATTTTCTCGTAAATCATATCACTTTAATCTTGGAAATTCATAGTTTATAATTTGTTACTATTAGGAATTTAGTACTAAAGAGACTTCTGCAGCATCACATCAGCTGAATGTTGGGATGAGTTTCTCTCTGTTACGGCACGCATTGACTCCACAACACCCCCCAACGTGTACAATATGGCTTAATGAAATGCATTTCTGTTGTTTTTAGTTTAACAGAGTTTTCCTGGGACCGACACTGTGCAAAGAATGACACTCTCAGTGGATTCATGGGGAGGAAATTCAGTGTTGAAAGTATTTGTTTGTGTTTTACGTGGGAGCACCTCACACTTCTAGACGTGTCCCTCTTTGATGCATTCGGCTGGCAATGTTCAGAGCACTGGTCTTTACACACCAAATAAATAGCTTGCAGTGTGATCATTTCCCAACACAGACAAGAGGGGGGTCCGGACAATGTTTACCTGTTGACAAACAGAAGCAGAAAAAAATATCCAAAATATCAGCATTTCAAAAAGGGGACTGGTTGTGAGTTCCCAATGTTCTCAGACACAACCAGAAAGTGTGACAGATCCTCCAACAAACAAACAAAAACCATAGAGCAGCATGCTGTTGAAAGTGTGCGCACACACGCGCAAACACACACACACACACACACACACACACACATACAATTTGGCAAAAACACTCCTCTGTAGTTTTAAGCTCTCCATCCGTGTCCGCTCCTCCTCAATGGCAGTTTTCACTTGCAGCTTTTTTTTTTTTTTTTTTTTTTTTGCATTCCCACTTCAAAAATAAGACAAATGTTGAACAGGAGGTATGCAAAATGGCTGCCACCAAGACGGCAGCTGTGGCATTAAGTGAAAGCGAAGGATCGATATCAGCTCGTTACGTTCGCCCTCCCGGCTCCTCCGCAATCCGTCGCTGACAAAGTAAGGCAGGAAGTATTTCATTGAATTTTGTCACTATTTCTTTTCCTCTCAGCCGCTGAGAGCAGACGGCCTCCCTCTCCTCGGATGTGATCCGACACTAGAGGGCAGGGGAGACAGACAGACAGTCGGACGACTCGGCTCTCACCTCGATGACACACTGGCGTCTCACAAACACAAATAAATATCCACACTGTTGTTTGAAAAGGCTCCTCCTCCTCCTCCTCCTCCTCCTCCTCGTCCTTCAACGCACCCCCTACTTCTCACTGCTCCCTCACACCTTTTGTTCCTTCTCCTCTCGCAGGGTTTTTAAAGCGCCGGTTGCGAGGCCAGGAGTAAAACAGCAGAGCGAGATCGCGCTCCCTCCCTCCCTTCCTCCTTCCCTCGCTCGCTGCCTAGGCCATGTAGATGAAGGTGTTGATGTCCGCGTCTTCCCTCTTTATGTACTTGTGTTCGATGAGCCACTCGATCTGCTCCTTGATCATCTTCTTCTGAGGCAGGAACATGTTCTTCAGGATCTCCACCAGCTCCGTCTGCAGCTGGGCGTTGCTGAGCCTCTTCCTCATCTTCATGATTTGGATGATGGCCTCCTGATCGAAAAAAAACCCAATATAAGCATAATTTTAATACTGTTCAACCTCTACAAAGTGTAATGAGGTCTATAAACACAAGCTAATCTCTCCTGTCCTGGTTCACAAATCAAACACAGACGACAACTGTTGGGAACTGTTGTCAGGCAGTACATTTTTGGCGTCACTGGTTAAAAATCAAGATAATCTTTCGGCATATTTTTATGAAAGTAATCTGAGAGGACTAGGTTTCTGCACCTCCTCTTGGCTCTTTTTTTCAGGCTTTACAAAATATAGCCGGTGGCGGGAGACTTTGAACCAATCACGTCATGTCAGACAGATGGACAAATGGAGATGCGGATATACATCCCTTCAGATGGTGAAAGCCTGATTTAATGGCAAAATATCCCGCAGGAAAAGTTGCTGTTTTTCCTCCATCTCTGAAACGCTTCAGCGATACTTTAGCTGGCTGGAGCCTCTAATCACAGTATGTCATCTCAAAAGGACTTCACGGGTTTGTAAAGAAAACAGGACGGTAGTTCTCGTAGAATTGCTGCTACATGACGGCACCTGGATCACAATCACGATGAGGATTTGTTCCAGTGTACCTGACGGCCAGAATATCACTGCTGGCTAGAACACTGTAGGCTGTGTTGTAACTGGCAATTGAGCAGCAGAACCACTGACGCTAAGTGATGTACTCTATATACAGCATAAGGGGAGGGTTACTTTAAGAATTGCTCCAGTGTGTCATTGAGCCATGATTTCAGGCCTGCCTAAAAATCCTAAATACAAAAACAGGTGAAAAAACATTTAACAAAGCCTCAGTCTTTAGTAAGTATGAGAACGTTAAGAAAATAATATGAACTAGTTCTTGCATGAGGTCCACTGTGAGTGTTTTGATGCATATTTTGAAGCGTGTTTTCACACCTGAGTTCTGAGTATTCTGAGCTGAACGATTCCTTCATTCTCCTCTTCCCTCATTCGCTCTGTGGTCAGCTGCAGCCGACCAATCAGATTGATCTTTCCCCGCTTCTGGACTTTGGAGTTTTTGCTGAGGGAAGAAAAAAAAACGGACACAAAGACACAGACAATATATATAAATAATATCACAATTGTTTTAAGTTTTTTAAATTTGTTTCTGCTGACGAGGCATTTAACATCATGCATAGTTGTGGTGCGGACCTGAAATTGCTGGTTAATTTAGTTGATAATAAGAACAGATATATTGAGTGCATGAATATCATTTTATATTTAATTATGCTACTTTACAAAGGAGTGGAATTTGGAAATAATGAAGCCTTTTGGAGATAAAATAAAATACATCTCTTAGCTGAATTCAATCATGGATCAAAGGGGACATCCACATTCACTTCATACATTTTTAGGGGGGGAAAGTTATTTTCTCATTTTTAAAAGCAGCACAGCATACATGAGTGAGAAGTCCTGGTTGACGTAGAAGAGCGTGCTGTCTGTGAAGTCTTTGGGCGAGCTGACTGGGGGGTCATACGACAACACCTGTCTCTTCAGCTTGGGGAAGGCCACCAGAGACTGCACAGAGAGGAGAGAGGAGTCAATCTCAAGATGTGAAACATCTCCATACGTCAGTTATAAAAAGTTATAAAACCACCAATGTGTGCGTGTTTCCTTTCTACAGACAGTCACCTTTCCTTATGGTACTGTTAAATTACCAAGAGATTTAATTATGCGCAAACATATTGGCAGCTTTGGGTATGTTAATAACCTGACTGGTGGGTCTGTCAAAATGTGGTGTAAATCTCAGGTGTAGCCTGGCAGTATTTTCTTACCCATGAGGGGCGAAGAATATATTTAACCTAAGTAAATATCTAAATCTCGCATACTTGTACTATAATTGGTGGATTGAAAAGAAGCATTTAAAAGTGTCTCCTCGGTCTGACCCAGAGTGTGCGGCGTAGCTCTGCGTCGGGCAGCTCCGTGGCCAGTTTGAGGTTCTCAAAGGTGATTCTCTCTCTGGGTCTCTGGTTCCAGGCGAACAACACCGCCAGCTGGAACGTCGTCACCTCCAGGTCGTACTGCCCCACCTCGTTCTTAAAGGTGATCTGAGCAGAGGGGAGGGAGAACCAAAGGAGAAGGTGAGAAGAGCAGAGCGTGGTGACACAGTGTCGCTCTGGCGGTTGTGCAGTCCTACCAAAGGTTTCCTGCAGTAGCATGCAGATAAATGCTGCAAAGTACCAACTAATGCAAGGAAGAAGAAGACATGGATGTAAACAATGTACGTTTCCATTCGATTCTTAACACTCAGTAGTGACCTCTCTATATAGAAGCTTTCATGTTAGTAACAAAGTCCACTCTTTCAAACGTTACTAATAACTTTAGTGTAGGAAGAATATGAGGCATATAAAGTTCAGGGAAATAAGAAGAGAAGTTGCACGGACAAAAGGAAACATTTTCTTCGTAATTTGGAGATGTACGTATTAAGATGTAAGTATTTTAACTCCATGAGATGTTGATGTATGGCTCTTAATGGCGGCCGGAACCCTTATCTACTGTTACGGCTCACTCACGATGCCGTTGGACATGAGGTGATGCCAGTGGAGTTTGCGTCCGCTGTGATTCCTCTTGTAGAAGTCTTCCACCTCGGGGATCAGGTCCTCCAGCTCCGTGGGCAGCGAGACAAAAACCTTCTCGCTGCTTCGCGACCACGCTCCGGCGTTCAGGATCTTAATGTTCACACTGTCCGCTGCAGGGAAAGAAATCAGTTCTAAAATAACTGTGTTTATGTTCTCACAGGTTATGCGTCTGCTGCATGACAGAAAAAGCGATGACAGGGACACATTACAGCAAAGTGATAATACTACACTGATTGGCACTCTTGCTTTATATTGTTGCTGACCGTAGTGCTTCGAAGCTTCGACCGTTGCCATTACTCCCAAAATCCCAAATAGCACATGAAATGAGGAATAGTGATTCCACATTTTTCATTATGCATCAATGTTGTTTATTATGAGTTATTCTCAGACGGATAGCACTGTTTGTTGTGTGCAGAGGGTCTCTATGTAATTATCTTCAATACAGCATGATGTTCATTGAGTAAATTATGGTCCATTTAGAGTCAAATAGACCATAAAGCAGAGTATGCTTTAGGGCTGGCTTACTGTGATTGACAGGTCGCTACCAGAGACGTATACGGCGTCTTTACGTCATTCCTCCACATTCCAAATATGGTCACTTCTGTTTATTGGTTGCAAAAAAAAAAAACAACATGGCGACGGCCGTAATCCAAGATGTTCATAGAGCTACATATGAGCTAATTATTTTTAATGGGCTATTGCTGTAATGCATTTGATGTGATCATTGCACTATATTTTGTAGCCAAAAATCTGGAAGTCCGATTTTTTTGTCCTCGTCTCATATTTAACAAGTTTGAGGAAGGTTCGACAGCTTGTGTTGTCGTCTTCGTCTCCGTTTTTGATGCACGGGCTTATCTGGATGCTCCTCGTGTTAAGATGCAACGGCACAGCGGGTTATTCTACGACACAACCTCCAAGAGAGAACACACTTTATAGAAGCTTTATATCTGACTGAGATCTGTTTCTCTTACTGACTCATAAAGACAACGATATTTCTCTCCTTCTCTGTGTGCATTATGTGTGAGAGAGATTGATACAGTTCACTAAAGCTTGTTAGTGTGTGTGTGTGTGTGTGTTGTACCTGGCAGTGCCATCCTGTTGTGTTTGTGCATCTCTTTGAAGACCTGATTGAGGTCCTCTGAGACCTTGATGTCCTGAAACATCCTGGCCAGCTTGTTCACATAATCTGCAGGCATCCCTACTTCCTACAACCACACACAGACACACACAGAGACAAACACACGCCGGGGAACAACCCAAAGGAAGAGAAAAAGAGGATAACAAAGCAAAGGACAAATGTATTCACTGTGCACCTGTTTTCAGATGTTTTTCTTTTAAAACTGTCAGTTCTAAATTCAGTCAGATTTTTAGTCTTGTTTACTTATTGTTTGACCAGATATTTCCACATCATAATATTGCTAATGTTATGCTGGTTTTTTTGACATCCAAGCGGGCACGGCACAACTGGGTTTCCCCGGCAAAGCACAGCAAGGTAAACAGCTGTTTACGGTGTGCTGGTGGTGTGCCGGTTTGCACAAACTAAGGTAAGAGCCTGCTGTCTCCTGCTCGTCATCAACCAGCTCACTGTGGCTGTTTCTATATTTAAGTTTCCTCCCTGTACTATTTAAAACTCTTCCACTGACCAAAATAGAAGCAAATATACTTCCATATATTTAGTTGTGCAGACATTTTTACTAACGTATTATACCACCAACGTTGTGCTAACTTGCCAACAAATACATCTCTGCAATGAAACCTCCCACAGGCCATCGCCAGGGAAAATGTTTTTATGTGAAGCCGCAGTAGCAGGACACGTTTGGTTTGCATTGATGGTAACAGCTCCAGAAAAAAGTAATAAGGTTGAAAGTACAAGTCGTACTGAAGGTAAACTCCAAACCAGAGATTCAGTTACAGGTTACTGAAGTTATGGGAGCTGAACAAACAACGACTTCATATTCACCAGCGCAGAGACACATATGCTACGAGCTAATACAGTTTTCAGTGAAAGAAATTCTCTGAGATTAAAGACACAAATTTATGACTCTCAGAGAATATTCAATGTTTTCTTCTCTACTTCACCTACTACCACTGCCCTAATACACTGTAAAAAAACTGATGTACAACTGCTTTGTTGTCAGACAAAGTTAAGCACTGATCCAGACAAAGAATTTTAAGACAGGTATAACTCACTCTCAGCCACTCCACCATGTTCTCTTCAATCTCGCTGTCGGCCGAAATGTCCAGAATCAGGCGCCTGGTCAGGTGAGCTTTGTGGTAACGCATGAACACGTCTTTATTCTGGACGTACTTCAACACCAAGAGCTGCAAGGAGAGCAGATAAAAGAAGAAAACAGAGTGAGAATAGAGGAGGGAGGGAAGGCGAAAGGAGGACCGAGGTGGATCAGATCAAAGTGAGTTCGCCCTGATGACCAACAGGACGGAGACTCACCACTTCTTTGAGTTTGAGCTCGATTTCCTCCGAGGAGAGTTTCTTGCTCAGAGGAGTTTTCCTCAGCAGCATGTCACAGTAGTTTGCCAGCAGCTCAGGACACTTTGACTCCGGCTGAGTCTTCATACCCACACTGTTTGGATGGACACACACACACACACCCCCACACCCCCACACACACACACACACACACACACACACACACACACACACACACACACACACACACACACACACACACACACTGCAACACTGTGACCAGTTTTTGTCAAAGAGAAAAGACAAGTGACGTCGGGTCATTCCACATCTACAAGGACAATAATGATGTTTCCACTCACCCTTTCTGTTTCAAAGGCAGCTCCAGTTTGAAGATTGTGGCGTCATTGACAACGGCCTTGTAAGCCTGCAGGGGAAGAGAACAGAGAACGGGTTCATGTGAGGACCAAACAAGTAGGGCTGCGACTTACGATTCCTACAGTTATTATTCAGCTGGTTATGCTTTAGATTAATCAATTATTCATTTAGTCTGTAAGAGGTCAGAAAATACTGTGAACTAATGTTGTAATTGCACAGTTTCCCCCTTTAGCAAATGCTGTCTGATGTGCGGGAGCGCTTGTTTCGAACCCCCTCAGTAAACAGACGCAAAGCTGTTTTCTACTCCAACACAACTATGTAGCGAAAGCTAATCGTCATGGTCAGCAGCTTCCTTTATTCAATGTGATAGAACTGCAACAACCTATTGGGACGTAAATAAGAAAGACGCGTCACTATGGAAATGAACTACTTTGTCGTGCTGTCGTTTAGTGGCAACACAAGGAAATAACTGTCCAATCAGAGCTCTGTATGTTAACTACGTGCCTCACACTTAACACACAAGCTTCTGCCTCACGAGAGGAAAGGGAGAGGCTGCTACTTTACTCCATATGAGAGTATGGAGTCCATAGGTGTGAATGGGGATCAAGCTGTAGCGCTGCTTGTGCTGCAGGTGTAGTTCTTTATGGATACACACATTTTGGAAGCAAATGTTGTGAGCTGGAGTGAACTGAAATGCCTTTAGCACAGAGCAGATATAATCCGATTTGTTAAAACAGACCTTATCTCTGGCTGTGAGGAAGCGAGGGTCGTCCTGGAAGGCCTCCTTCACCAGCTTACTGAAGCGGTTAAACAAAGTCAGCAGCTGCTCCACGTACTTCTCAGAGTCCTGGACAAACACAAACACACACATATTTGAGACTACTGTACATGTTGTAAAAGCTGCCCCCCAATATCAACTTTTAGTCTTTTAGTCAGCTGGTTCATTACACGCTGTAAATTCCTCTCCGACTTCTGGACTCTGCTGTCCCAGATCTCAATAACGATGAACAAATCTACTGTACGACATGCTGCATGTTCTGGGATGACTTTTGTTTTTTTTAAAGTGATTTTGTTAATTATAAGACGGCTCCACTAGTTTGGTAAAAATTATAATCCAAAAGTTCTACGAGTGATTGTTGTGATAATTAATCACATCTGAACCTTTAATAATTATTTCTTACTTTTAATCCAATTTTTCATTTATTTCATTTATTTTACTTTTATCAAACATCAACAAAATACTTCTTTACGAGTATTTTTTGTTTCTGAATAAAGAAAGCGTTTGGGTTTAATCAAACACATGTATGTATGTCTACTGTCACTTTACCTGTATATCCTTCTACTTACTGGTTTACTACCTGGGTTGCTTCAGGAAGGGCATCAGGCGTAAAACATATGTTGAATCATATTTGCGGATCATAAAATCTGATTTCCGTACGGGATCGGTCATGGTCGGGTTACTCAACTAGATGGAAACAGATGATCCACTGTGGCAAAGAATTTACTGTTTTACTCCCCGTTTCCTTCCTTCTTGTACCACAAATGTACAAGAAATAAAAGATATTTTTTTATTTTACACATTATAATCGTTATATTTAATTATTTAATCACTGTATTTGAATTTCTACACTATTTTATGTCTTAGATTTTTACTTTTTGCTTAATTTGTCTTTATGTTTATTGAGATTTGGAGCCTGGGATCGGAGAATTTCTCTGCCAATGACTGCTTCTCTGTAACTGTTGTGCATATGACAACAAACAACTTGAGACTTAGACCGAACATGGGATTGGGGAGATGAGCTGAGTAATTGTTGAAGCGAGCGTTTGTTCACGTACGGATGTGATAGTCTCGGCAGCAGCCACCATGTCTGCTAGTCCAGCATTGACGATATGTTCCTCCAGGTCTTTCAGCACGGGCTCGATCCCGCTGGGAACCTTGTCCATCAGGGAAAACATCAGCTGCAGCTCTGTTCAGGGAGAAAACACATGAAACACACTATGGATGTCAAATAAGAACTGGATACGGTGCCGCTTCTTCTTTCTATTATGAATCTTTTATCCAAAGATAGTTTATATTTGTCAAAACTTTCCTCGAGCTGAAAAAAAGCTATATTAAAAGTCTTCGGGCCGAGTGGGAACTTGCAGGCAGGGCCAGCAGAGGAAACACTACTGCCGATACTCAGTGGTAAACCTGTAAGCTAGAAACTTCTTTGTTGTATGCGCCAGGTGAGCAATTCTCATTGGACTCATCGGCACCAGGTTGGGGTTCTTATAATACATCCATGAAACATACTCGCTGAATTCATAAACTTCCTACACTTGCAGACTCATCCGACTTTTAAGGGTGTGTAACTGTGAAGTCCAGCAGGCAGAGAACTCCCGAAATGCACAATTCATCAAGTCCCCATTAGGCCTCTACGGGACGTCCTGCCGTCTGCTGAGGGTGCAGGCTTTGTTATTAAGATAATCATAATTCTGAGCAATATGGATCTGACACTACAACTACTACTACTAATAATAATAATGATGATGATACAAATATATATGAATTATATAATAATAACATTTGGTGGAAGGCAATATAAGACTGTTGTCTTCTGACGCTGTGAGTGATCAACTATGACTGTCGGCAAGTTGCACAGCTCTACTGGCCTCGGTGGCAGGAAGCCAACCAACACCGGGAGCAGCTTTCTATTTTTAAACGTCCATCTGGCTGCTGCAATAGTGAACGTTGATGCCACTACCTCTGGCAGACTTCACAGTGTGTGGTTGTGATTGAAAATGCACACCAACATAATAAATTCTCCATCAGTATGTACTACATGCTGCCTACTAATATGAAGGATGAAGTTGGCCATTAGCAGCAGACTGTTCACACTGACATAAACAATCAAACCACACGTCTTCTCTGCAGCACATGACTTGGGATTTGACGATGGTCAGAGCGATCGCCAATAGCAGAAACCATTTTTGGCTAATTTTCACATTAATGTATTAAATTATTGTTATAAGCAGTCGTATTAAATCAATCTCAATTTAATTTGCCCCATCATAGTTTCATGTCTGCATCCCCCACATACAATCATCACACACACGCTGTCCCTGGTACTCAATGGAGCAGAGGAAAGACTGAATCAGGGCTGTGCCCAATAGTTTAGAAGCTTCATGATGTGGACATTTTAATTATTATTAATAATTTACAGAAAAAGTCCACCTTCTTCTATTCCCCTCTCTCTGTCACACTCTCTGTCACACACACACACACACACCTCTGTATTTGTCTCAGTTCAAAAGTCAAACTGTATTTTTAACGAATGATTCTGCTTGAATCTACATTTCTTGGCATTTAGGCTTTCAATGACAACATTACAACATCAAAAACAGCTGTACTTACTGTCCGTCTCGTTTCGTTTGATCATGCCTGGACATTCAACGAGGATGGTCTCTTTGAACGAGGTCACCAGAGCATTCACACAACACTCCATGAGCTGTAAAATATAGAAAGATTATTCAGGATGACATGAGGGAAATAATTGGCTAAAAAAATGGAAACAAACATGAAATATAAGTTAGTACTTAGCACTGATGCTTCAGACCCTGTTGAAGACACTTACTGCTTGAACAGAGTTACATTCACGACGTGTCTCTAGATATCTAAGCGCTCTCTTCTCCTCTTCTCTCAGCTTCGCATCTGCCTGCAGAGAAACACAACAGAAAACACAGATCCAGGTGATACAAACATACAATTAAAACTCTCATACACACATCCAAGGAAACACCTTTTCTCCTAACATCTGTCCACAAAATGTAGCTTCAATGGATAGTTTGAATCGGGGTTGTATGAGTTACTTAGTTGGAGAACCAGCATGAGAACAAAGCAACGTATTTCAAACAACTAAAATAAATGTTTATCAGTTTAAGTGTTCGCTTACAGTCAGTCAGCCCTTTCCTACGGGCAACTGAAGCCATTATCTTTGCTCTTTTGAAAGCCACCAGACTCCACTCACTTTACCTCACAGAACACAGGAGCTGCTGGTCTGCCGCTGCCTCGATCTGCTAGTTTGTGTTATTGTGTGACTTTGGTGTTTTAAAGGGTGAGTTCAGATTCACACAACAACACAACTAGACTAACCGATCGAGGCAGCAACTTCCGTGTACTTCCCCCCCCCCCCCTTTCATCAGAGCATTTGTCAGTGGCATTCTCTTCTACATTTTAAAGAGAGCCCATTCTTCATCCTACAGTAACACTTGCAATAATCAGTATCATTGTCGCGTACATATTTCATGTAGTTCTGGACGCCGTTCTGCTGTAGATAGGACGGGGCCTGTGTTCTGTAAAACCTCTCTGTGGAGTCCAGGTAGGCTTTCTCAAAGTTGTCCCTGTAGATCTGCAGCTTGTCCTCTGGGTTAGAGCACAGGTTGACTGGTGGGAGAGAAGCACAGAGATTGGGACAATCCAAGTTACCGTTAATGCAGTATTCAGTTCGTTCTCAGTCTGTTTGTGACACCGCCCTCCAGAATGTTTACAGTGGACCCGTTTCTGTCCGCCCTACCGTACGACTCTCGTACTCCTATAACGAGCTGGGAGTCGAAGGCATCCCCCTGCCTCTCGGCGTGCACTAGCTTCATGGCGCTGTCCTGCAGGCGACTCTTAATGTTGGAGAAGATCGACTCGTTCCACGTGTCCAACATGAGCTGCAAAAGGGAAGAGAAGGGCAGTAATAATTGTGCATCCAAAATGTTAAATAATAAGTTAACCTCCATTTCCTACCATCCAAGAATAGTTGAGCCCAATTTATTCATGAAGTGCTTTTAAAGGACACTCCTGTCTGCTGAATCATCCCCTCCCTCCACAACAAATTCCTCCTCTATGGCCTCTGCTGCTCTGCTCATTTAGTTCTTTTCATCTCCTCTCCTCTCCATCTTGCTTCTTACATGCCATCTCATCACCTTGTTGTTGCTCAGCTCTTCCACTCAAACCCTGCCTCCCCCCCTCACCTTTCGCACGATGCTGTCCTCCATGTTTGTTTTCTTGTTGCTGCCTTGTTTGCCCATGAGCGTGATCTCCAGCTGACAGAAGGGCTTGGGCAGGATGTCACACTGGGTGAAGAACTTCCTCCACTCTACAATGTAGGCCTTCAGCAGCGCCGTGTCGTCCTGGTGGCTCAGCACCCGCTGCCATGGCAACAGATGCAGGCAAAAGTAAAAGATGACACAGGTCGGCCAAAAAATACGTACGATGCTTTGTCCCCTGTAATACTTGCTCCACATGTTAAAATGTAGAGAGTTTACTTCCACAGTGAATACGCTGATACATTTCACATAACTGTCATTGTTTACCGTTAATAGAGAGCTGCATGTTATAATGTATAATATCTATTTCCTGTTGGCTCACACGCTGTATGTGAAGCATTTTGATATTTGATATTCATTTGTTCAACAGTTGGCATGAATGAATGTTGAAAATATAGAGAGGGAGTTCTGGTCAGAATACTACTGTGGTGGTATGATGTTGATTTTTTTTACCCTTTTCTCCTGATTGCACCGCAAGGTAAAAGAGACCAGGGTGCTAATTCAGGCATGAAAGTAACATGTTGAATAGCCATAACATTAACATATCTGAAGTGAGCTTACTAATGCTAAACACAAGCAAACATAAAATAAAAATGAAAGCAACCCCCACACTACTTACAGCCTGTGCTTGTTTGATGAAGTCTAGGATGTCCTCTTTGAGGGCTTGGTGGATTTTGGCTGGTCCTTTGTCATCCCATAGACACACAGCATGGACATCTCTGGGGGACAGACGAGGGACAAATTCAAAGTTGGCACAGTCAAACTATGCACCTCAAACTCTGGGGCACTTTCCAGAGCTTTTACTCAACATGTCACAAACACAAGTGGTGTAATACTTGCAGAAATATCTGTTGAAATGTGATCCGTCTTTCCACAGCAATTTGATGAGAGAGCTACACTGTTCCTGTTCCCCTTTTCCTCTTCTCATCCTATTTCTCAAGCCAAAAGCAGCGATCACCAACCAGGGCTGACGATTCAATATGATAATGTATCATCTTTCAATGGAATAATATGGTGATGAAGTCCTTTATCTAGATATCGTGATCTATAATTACACTAGACCTATCACAACACTTTTTCCCTCCACATTACCCACGTTGTTATCTAAGGTTAGTCAGATAAGTCAAGTTAATTGTATTATTCATAAAGCCCCATATTGTCCTTAGGGGGCTTTACAATCTGTACAGCATAGAACACTCTCTGTCCTTAGACCCTCGACTATGGATGAGTAAAAGCTACACACTGTTCCTTTAAGCTATAGAAACAAGACTCTTTTCCACACTAGTTTATGAGCGGGACACAATCTAACAACAGGCTTACCTACAAAAGTCTGACATTGTGTGGGGATTATGTAAAGCACAACACCTGTTGGTAAAAACTAAGCCTATGTATTGCATGTGTGTGCTGCCGAAATGCACTAAAATAGAACGCTGTGATTTGTGAGTGGTCTGTTGTTCAGAGTAAGGCAACTGTTTTCAGAATCAGAGGCAGCAGCAGCTGAACTGATCCAGCGTTGGAGACAGAAGGCAGTAAGGGACGGAGCAGAAAGCATCTCTTACGAGAACAAGTCGAACCACTGTTGCTTGGTGACGGCTTCCTGTCTGAGCAGCTTGAGAACGATGGGCCGCATCGAATCCCACTTGTCCTCAAACTGCAGGGACCCCTTGTTCTGGAGGAGAGACATGGAGTGGGAGGAGGAAGAGGAAGGAGCAATGAGGAATGTTGGGGGAGAGAAGAGAGTCAGAGATGCAGAGATACACAAAGACACACATAGAGACTGAAGACAGACCAAGGGCTGGGATCAAGGCTAACTACATCTTCAATCTGTAGCTTTTCACTATTTTACATCAACGTATCAAGTTTTTATATCACTCTTATTATTATTATTAAGATGTTCAAGTCTAAGTAAGTAACTGGCCACCTTTTAAACTGGCTTAAGTTGAAGCCTTGCATTGAACGAACACAAGGAAAAGAAGAACATGTCATATGTTATAGTAACATTACTTTAAAATAGTATTTCATTTGCTACATATCAATCTGTTCCTATGCTTCATTTAAGCCATTTCATAATGATTTTCCCTGAAGTATCCAGATCCCAGAGGCCATGTGTGTTACTCACACTTTGTACATATTTCCTTGCAGGTTTGCAACTAACATCTATTTTCCTCATTGACTGATGGGTCTACAATTATTGAAGTAATCGCCTCGGGATGAAAGAGGAAGTGAAGGCACACTAGTGTTGGAGAGGTGCTGACCACGGTGAAAGCACAAGTGTAAAGGAAAATAGTCGCACACTCATAGCCATGATGCAATTGTTTTTATAATTTAACAACATTTCGACATGACAGTCTTCTTCAGGGTGATAGCCTGATGGTAAATTATTAATTGTTTTTTGCATCGTGGCTACAAGTATTTTCTTTTGCACTTAAATAATCACCTAATTATGTAGATTATCAAACATCTGAAAATAGAGAAAAATGCCCATCACAAGTTATTGGAGATAACATTACTTGTCCAACAAAACAGTCCAGAATCAAAGAGCTATATTTAGAAATACATCAGAGAAAAGCAGCAACACTACCCGCCTACTTTAGCAGGACCCTGTGGTTCTCTGTCCACCTCCATTGGTGTCATGTCCACCAGCCCGGGACAAGTGACGTGTAACGGTGGAAGAACTAGGCCCCACTCTGATCTTTACCGAAGTAAAAATAGCCCACTCAGCTACAAGTAAAAGTCCTGCATGCACAGTTGTACTTAATTATGTATATTATATTACTGGAGTATTAATGATGCATTAATGTGTTCAATACTTTAATGTTGCAGCTGGTAAAAATGACCTAATTTTAATGATTTGATGAACTGTTGGGGAGTTTGTGAATTTCCCCGAGGGATCCACAAAGTATTTTCTTAACCTGTAATAATACTTTATAATCTATTCGTTGATTTTGATAGTATTGCCTCAAAACTAGGGGGACAGTAACGTTCAGTTGAAAGCAAAGTAGCATAAAATGGAAATACTTAAGTACAGTAAAAGTACCTCAAAACTGTACAGTTAATGTACTTGAGTTATTCAACCATTGACCCTGTGGCTCTCTGTCCACAGGTTACCTGAAGCTGACAGACACGAGCCGTGCAGTGAGCCTGTCAAAGCTAGTTGACGCTAACCTACCTCTCTTGCTAGCATACCAAGCTACCTGTCCAGTGACTGACGGTGGACAGTCAGCGTTAATTATCAATCAGGACAAGACCTAAACTGTCTACTTCACAGACAGCACTGCCAATAACTGGTGGAGCTGACGTGTAACTGGGCCTAGTGAACACAGAAGGTGCATTTTGACATGTTGAGAGGAGTTCGGTTAGTCAGCTAGCTGAAATAAAAGCGTTAGCATGTTAGCAACAATTAGCCAAAAAGAAACGGGTCTTCGGAGAAGGGGCGTCTTGTTGACATTTATGTCCCCATCTAGTCTCCATGCTCTTCGTTGTTGAGTTTAGGGCTCAGTACAATTCTTGTTAAGCTATGGCTCGTCCTCGCCGAAATGCCGGGTAGCGGCTTCGGTTCGGCTTTGGTTACAGAAGAAGACACATTGAGGTCCTGTTAGGACGGGTTCTGTTCGAGGCAGGAGTTATAAGTCTTTGGGGAAACAGACTCCGACACCACACCGGACTTCAACAACGACAGCGGTGACAACTGTGACTTCAGGCGCACCTATTTGTGCACTTATTTCATATATTTACACTATTAGTGCACACACATATATGCCACAATAGTGAATATATACATACACGCTCTAATAGTGAAAACGACGAGTTTAAATCAGCACACAAATATGGGAAATACGATATATTCCAGTGCTTCTTACCTTTAACAAATTTGACGACGCCATGTTTCTTCAACTTATCACCTCGCGGAATCTCGCGAGACAGCTACTACAGCTGGCTCAGATGAGGTCATGGGAACCTTGCACACTGAAAATCACAGTGGTGGAAGAAGACTCCTGTAAATGTCCTGCATTTGAACTCTTATTTAAAGTATAAAATAAGAAGAGTGTCAGCACCAAAGTATACTTAAAAGTAAAAGTATTCCTTATGCAGAGTGGCCCATTTTTTATTATAATTATAAATGCATCAATGTGTACGTAGACCACTTCAGCATTGCAGCTTTAAATTACTTTATATACTTTATTCAGCCCAACGTATGTTGATAATATATTGTAATTCACAATGTACCAGTTGATTTATATTTTGTATTAATAATCCAAATCTGCAAATCACTTAAAGTTATCAAACAAATATTGTGAAGTAAAACAGTAAAATATTAGCTTCCAAAGTGTAGTGGAGTAGAAGTATAAAGTTTAGAAAACGATGCTGAAACGCCGTGTGGATGGAGATCGTAAACAAAAACAAATGTGGATATGCCTCAATGTAGGGGACAATCTGAGGGTGACAAGTATGTAAATATTTGTGTGGGAGGGGGTGCAATGTTACATTAACCTGTAAGGACAAACATATTGTATGGAATTTTGAGAAGAGCAATTCAAAATTGTGAAATTCGATTCCTTTTGTTGGAATATATGCATTATACCCAGAACCTTACTCACTCAATAAAACAAATTATACATAAAAAAAGAACCACTGGTCGGAATTTTAACAATGCATTTTATTTATTAGCTTACTTTATATTTTTAAGTAACTACAGCTGTAGTAAAAAAGTACAATATTTCCCTCTGAATTGTTGCAGGGTAGCATAAAATGGAAATACCCAACAAAAGTATCAGTACATTGTACTTAAGTACATCACTTGAGTTAGTGTACTTAATTAGTTTCCAACAATGTAATTTCCATTTAGAAAAACAAAACAATGATGAAGCACTGTTCCTCCAACACATCAGCAGATAACAGATGAGAGTAAAAACAAGAAGAAGCAAAGTGATGACTTCTTTAATCTTTCATCATCAGCGCTTATCTCTAAGTGCTGCTGGCTGTCTTCAACACATTACACACAGAGATAAGTGACAGAGTAATCTTTGCCCTCTGAGTCAGCTAATCATTCAGGGAAAAGCCAAAGAGTTAAAAGCCCGCAACCGTGAAAAAAGTCAGAGAGGATTCCACCATCACCGGAGTGGCAGCATGGCTACCAAGCAGTCTGAGGATGCACTTGGGGACTTGAGTGACGAGAGCCGAAGCAGTGGACTCATGTTGAGGATCAGGAGATTCAAGCCTGAGGAAGTTTTCACCTGGTGAGTGGACACGGGAGATGAGAAGAAGGGAAAGCATGTTCGAGGAAGTTACCCTTTGAACAGAGCCAGGAAAGCTGTTTCCCCCTGTTGGTAGTGAAAATGTCAAACTTTTCCTTTAAGATTACGGTCACCACCAGTGGTGGAAGAAGTAATCAGATCATTAACTTTAGTGGAAGTACTATAGCACGCTGAAAATACTCCACTACTAGTCCTGCACTCCAACCTGCATGTACCAGCAAAATGTACTTAAAGTAAAATTATTGATATAGTGTTTTACTATTATAAATGATGTTTCTGGATTAATATCAATGCTGTATGTTGCATTGTACTGCTGTAAATGTTTTTAACTCCTCTATCTGCTGTTGGTTGGTTTAATCTACATCAATGCATCGTATTCTATAAGATCATCATGTTTGTAGCGTCTCTGTCCTGTGAGAACCTCGTATCTCTAAACAGATCAACAGTCCTGTTTTCAGCTTTGTGACGATGCATTTTCCAGCTGATCCAAGAGGCTTTTTAAAGAGTTTACTGAGATGAAGAAGTAGGAGGATTTTCATAAACACATAAAGGAGCACTTCTCAATTTATCACAAACACTCAGCATCAACACATCTGGAGATACTTGGTTTTCACTGGACAAGAAGGTTATGACAAATTGTAACCTGAAAAGTAACTGAAGCTGTCAGACAAATGTAGTAAAAACGTACAATATTTACCTCTGAGATGTAGTGGAGTAGGAGTATAAGGTTGCATAAAATGGAAATACTCATGTAAAGTACTTTGAACTTGTACTTAGTAAATGTATTTAGTTACATTCCACCACTGGTCACCCATGTTATGTTCTCAAGAATGTTTAAAGTGGACAACATTGAAAAATAAAAGTGCCTGGTGCTTTTAAAAATGTGCCGTCTTCCTCCTTCTCTCTCAGGCAGCTGGCCAAGACGTTGGCCATGGGTCAGGGTCTGGCTGGGCTCATCTGTGGGACGGCCATCAGCTCCCAGTACCTGGCCTCCAACTTCCATATGAACACACCCATGCTGCAGAGCTTCTTTAACTACGCCCTGCTGTGTGTTACCTACACCACCATGCTGCTCTGCAGAACAGGTAACACCCACACCTATACCTGAGATAATACCTGTAACACAGGGGTAATATTTCATTCGATGATAAGCAATATTACTAAATGTTTCTGTTTGACTTTTAGTGTTGCTAAGTTATAAACAAAAATTCTGTCTGTAAACGAATAGATATCAATACTGAAGTTCAGGGGTGTTCCCCTTTAAAACGAAGGGGATGGCAATATTTTACAGATACTGAAGAAGCGCTGGTGGAAGTATCTCCTGCTGGGGCTGGTGGACGTGGAGGCCAACTACACCGTGGTTAAAGCGTACCAATACACCACCCTCACCAGCGTTCAGGTGAGTACAGGTTATGTTTGTGCGGTTTTCATGTTTTTTTTAAAAACGTAACCGTTGTGCTTTTAAAAAAGTTGCTCTGATGTCCTGAAAGAACAATAATGTCTGCGTCAATAACATTCCATAGAATTATGTATTCATATTATTTTCTAGTTTCACTGAGTTAAATATTTTAACTAACTTCTGTCCAAACTACCAAATATTCATTCAGTGGCATTTTGTTTACATAATGCCACTATTGTTGTGGGGGAAAAACAGAAAATAAGATAATTTCCTGGATATCTAATGTTAGGGGGATTTTATTTCACAGTGTGTCTATGATTAGAAACAACATTGATCTTGTTGCATTTTTTATTTTGATGCAGTGTCAGATAAAAAAAAAGAAACTATTCATCAGTGCTGATCATAACTACCAAATATGTATTCATTTTCAGAATTTTCACCCTTTAAATTCCAGTTTGTTTGAATAATGCCACTGTTTTTGCAGACATTTTTTTAAATATTTCTTTACATACAAGATGCTAGGGGGAATTGTATTAGTCTGGGGTATGTCAATAATAAGCAACAACACTGGTGAGTGGCATTAAACACTGCAGTGCTCCATGATACAACAGTATAGTGGAAACCAGAAAAATAGCAATCTGATGGAAATTAGATAAACAGTACAATTTTGAAGCCAGGGCTCCAGATTGAAAGCCTGATATAATAGAGTCGGCAATATTACGCTCTAATGGCCGTGGGATCAACAGTTGTGTTTTTAATGGGTTTCAACAGGAACATTTTTGTCCTTGGGTGTCTGTATTTTGGCTACACAGTTTATTGTAGACGTATTATTGTTCCGATGTGAGGGCTCCGGGATAGAGGATGTCGTATGTGTACAGATTGTAAAGCCCTCTGACGCAAATTAGAAATTTGTGATTTTGGGCTATACAAAAGTCAATTTAATTGAATTGAATTAAAGGACCTGAGGATGAACTTCCAAAATTTGAAAATAAAACTCACACCCTTGCTAATATGTATGAAATATGCATAAGCTGATCCAAAAATTAAAAAGCTCAAAATGTCCCTATAGTAAAACACACATATTCATTTAATGAGGTTAGTGAACAGTACATTTTAGTAGTTCTTTGTTTCAAGTCAAAAGTTCGAAGAACCCTTGTATATACTAGAAAATGTGAAGTTGAATGAACTATTATAACTTTTTCTACAATAACTCAACAAGATAAAATTCCACTATATTACTGATGGTTTACTGTGTATCGGAGCAGGCTTCTTTATATTATTGTGCAGCTTGTTTTTCACTGACTTTCAGTCCAATGCCACCAGAATCAGACAGACTGTGGCTCTTTGGCTCCACCTGCTGATGTGTAAATCAGCCAATGACACTTTTTTCCCCCTGTGTCACTTTATTTTGAAGGATTACTGTTTTTAGTGTAGATATAAAGTAATTTAAAGTATTTATCGATGTTTGTGTTTATATTCAAATGTGTTTCTGGCTTCCTGTCTCCAGCTGCTGGACTGCTTTGTGGTCCCGGTTCTGATGATCCTGTCCTGGTGGTTTCTGAAGACACGATACAATACGGTCCACTACATAGCCGTCAGTATCTGTCTCCTCGGGGTGGGGGCCATGGTGGGGGCCGACCTGCTGGCTGGACGAGACCAGGGCTCCAGTAAGAACTTCTCTCAAGTGCCAACCCTCCTGTGATCAGGGCCTGCATTTATCAAACTGTGACATTTTGGATTTAAAAGTCAAAATCCTTCACTTGGACTCTTCCCCACAGACTTTAAGGGGAATTTTGCCATGTTTGCACATCAACGTCTGTTTACAGTTGTTGAGGAGTATTGCTGCACATGTGAAAATAGTTGTATTCAGCCTTTTGTGTCTGTCTCCAGAGGGAACCGTGGGAAGTCTGATAAATGTCCTCTCGTGATGTCACTTGTGTCAGTGCTGGTTGGGTCTGAAGATATTAGCCGCTACTACATCAGCTGCTACTAAAAGAACCCACCTGAATCTCTGGCCAAAATGTCAGTGATCACGTTGCATTGTGGGTAACGAAGGCATCAGGTTTTGACATGGAAGAGGAAAGTATAGAGTAAAACGAGATAATTTCTCTAGTTCTCTATATATTGCAGCCGAGCAGGAGCTACTTAAAGGAATAGTGGGTAGGATTTAGGGGGATTTATTGGCAGAAATGGAATATAAAATGGTATATAATCACCTGAAACAAAGAGTCGCTGTGTTTTTGTTAGCTTAGAATGAGCCCTACATATCTACTTAAAGAGCAGGTTAGGTAAGGTAAAGTAAGGGGTATTCAGTTGGTTGCAATCTGCAACCTCACCACTAGATGCCACTAAATCATACGCACTGCTCCTTTAAGAAACCTCAGCAGCTCTCCTTAATTTAAGATCAAATATTTTATTCTTAAATTTGGGAGTAGGGTGACAGTGAAGAATGTTTACTTTTATCTTTTATATAAATCCAAAATGTTGCGTTTGTCTAGCAGCTTGGTATGAGCACCAATGTCAGTTGTCTTCAGGCAAACCTGGTAAACAAATGTCATAGCCCCTCTCATGCCGATCAGTGGATTTTTAGAGGAATGCCTTACAAAATCTTAGAGAATCTTATTTTGGTAACCACAAAATCCCAGACAAACAAACAAACACGAAGCAAATCCGTGTAATTTTGACAATGTTGTACCACAGTAATGTTATGTGCCTCCTCAGCCTCAAACATCCTGCTCGGGGACGGTTTGGTGCTGCTCAGTGCTTCGCTGTACGCCGTGTCTAATGTGTGTCAGGAATACACCGTGAAGAACCTCAGCAGGGTGGAGTTCCTGGGAATGGTGGGCCTGTTCGGCACCATCATCAGCACCGTGCAGATGTAAGTGTGTGCGGGTGTGATCAGGATATAGGACTCATTCAACATTATGGTTAATCTGGCGTTTTTCTTTCCTTTACCCAGGGTGATCCTGGAACGTAATGAAGTGGCTAACATCCAGTGGAGCTGGCAAGTCGGTGAGTATCTGCAAAGAAGCATCGTCAAGACAAAACAAAAGACAAAATACAGCAAAATAACAATTTCACCTCCCCTGGTTCAATTCATTGATTCTACAATGCAAAACTATATTTGAGTATGGATAGATATTGTTTGCATAGATAAAGAAATGCCGAAAGTCTTCCTTGTAGTCTCTAGCTTTTCTCCTGACTAAACTGAAAGTTGACAATTTCCCATCGTAGAAATAAAGTTGAGCATGAAGGGGCAATAACTTGGCTAACCTTTGACCTCATATTGACCTCTGTTGTTACAGGAGGAGCTGACTAAGGAGTCACAGAAACACAGCTCAGATACTGTTTATCAAGTAATAGAGAAGTAATTGCTTATTAGTCCATTGAAAAGCAATCCCGATGCAGTTTTAGGAGTATCTGTTGTGTGCAAAGGTTAGTACAAAGGCTGGAAACAGGTTAGCTTGTTAGGAGGCTAGAGCGAAGTTTTTTGTTCACATTGAACTCAGAGTTGGGCCTCTCTCCTCTCAGGGCTCCTGTTCTCTGCCTATGCGCTGTGCATGTACGCTCTGTACAGCTGTATGCCCATAGTGGTGAAGCTGAGCAGCGCCACCGCCGTCAACCTCTCCCTGCTCACCGCCGACCTCTTCAGCCTCTTCTGCGGGATCTTCCTCTTCCAGTACAATGTGAGCAGACACACATGAATTGTAGCTAGAGCACAAAATGTGGATCAATACGCCGGTGAAAGTAGTCTCCAACGAATGCACTTTTTCCTCCTGTTTGAGTTACGGATGCTAAAACACTACCAGCTGTCCAGCTGATTCAGCTCTTTTCAATGGGTTTGGGGGCAGAGTGCCACAGACAGGTGGTGTTAGGACGGAGAGAAAAAAGAGACTCACCTGCTTCTCCGGGTGTCAACGATTCTCTCGTTGTTATAGTGATACAGTAGTGTCAATGAATCAGAATTATTGTTAAAGTGCAATCTCAACGTCATGTGTTTTCGCACAGCAGCATGCATATGCAGAGTTTATTAAGTCGTGAGTTCAAAGTCCTTTAAACGGCTTCAAAACAGACGAATATTTTGTCTGTAAACGTCACTTATGCAACAATTCACCCAGGTTTGTCCTCTGCTTCCCTGACACAAACTGCTCAGTGAGTAATAATAACTTGAATATTTGTTCATGTTTCATGTGCTCCACCTTATTTTTTTACTAAATTCCATTTCCAGACTATATCATATAATATGCTTTGAATGATGATTTGCCTATGTTATGGTTCATTCACACAAAAAAGTTTGTTTACCTGGTTAAAAATTCTTTAAAAGCACCTCCTCCTTTTCCCTCATTGGAAAAAAATCCAGCATCTATGTATTTAAAAATATATTTTTATTTCTTAACTCAAAATGTCTCCTACTTCACTGAAAAGTTCATTCTCAGTGTATTTATGCATGCGAGAGGTTTCCCATTTGTGTAAGTTTCATACTGGACCGTAATGGCTCCAAACTGGTGGTGATAAAGCCTGCAGGTGCGTGCATGTGTTAAAGTCCACCTCTGTTGACAGAAAACTTAAAAAAAATGCTTTGCGTCATATTGAAAATGAACCCACCGTGTTAGAGATGGAGTATTTTAATATTCCCTTCGCTCACCTTTGTTCATACGCTCTCATGCCCCGCCTCAGTTCTCTGGGCTCTACCTGGTCTCGCTGGTGGGCATCCTCATCGGCTTCATCGCCTTCAATGCCGTGCCAATACCCACGGACCGCACGGACACCGCCGCCTCCTCTTCCTCCTCCATATGTGAGGAAGGTTACTCTGACGACCCCAATTGTCAATCGACGATTCCCAATGACCTTCCCAAGTGGGAGGCAGCCGTGAGGATCACCGCTGAGGAAGAGGAGCAGCAGGGGCGTGGAGAGACGGAGGAGGGCTTGGAGGAAGAGCACAGAAGGAGAGGGAAGAAGAAGAGAGCATCAAGACCATCGCAGAGCCTCGGAAGAGGGAGCGGTGACGTGGATGTTGTTGCTATTATACACAACACTAAAATGTGAACTACAGCATGGAAAACTGTCAACATGTCATATATTTTTCAGAACACATTTATTTATTTATTGAGACTTGAATCTATACAGAAATGGACTTAGACAGGATATACGATGGCACCAGATGATGTAGGCTACTGGAAAGTTGACCTGGGTGGCAAATTGTTGTGCTCTTCTTTTTGCCAGGTATTTCAACCATAATGTAACTGTGATGCGGAATGATTTTGTGTCACCTTGTTATTGTTGTGATGGTTTTTGTCATAATTTTTTGTCTGTGGTTGTTTTGCCCCAAAGTAGTTTTTGTGTCTCTTTACAGCTGTTTCGCATCTCTTTGTAGTTTCTTTAATCTCATTTTGTTTTTGTGTCTCTTTGTACTTGTTTTATGTTTCTTTGTGTTCTTTTTGAGTTTCTTCTTGGTTGATCTGTGTCCCTTTGAGTAAATTTTTTCTAAGTGAAGGCCAGGGGAGCGCTGACTCTAAGAGACCCTGGACCTGTGCCTGGTATGTCCGTTAAGAAATCACATTCAACAATAATGTCCAAATTCACATTTTAGCTTCTTTTTTTTTAGGTCAAACACATTTTTTGTGTGTTTAGGGCTGTAACTAACGATTATGTTCATTATTGATGAGTCTGTAAATGACTTTCTTGATTGATTAATTGTTTGGTCAATAAAAATATCAGATATTTTGTAAAAGTCTATCAAAGAATGGTCCATGGGTGAAAAATCACATTTTACCAGAGCACAAGTTGACTTATTTTGATGTTGTGTTTTGTTCAACCAATAGACGCTTAAAAGACAGAACGAATGAAAACCAGCAATTATTCACACAGCTTAGTTTAGCATAAACAGTGGAAACAGAGCGAAACAGCTGGCAATTAACATGTTATATATTTTTTATTTAATCCGTATTAAAAAACAGTGTAAATTGTCATTTTTTTGGAGCGGAGACTCCAGGACGTTTCTGGTCGCTGCCAAGAAAGGGTCCATAAACACTGAGTTAGCAGAAAGAATACTCCCTATGTTACACTACCTTCATCAGTGGAGCAGCAGGGAACAAAGATACACATTGAATCCCAGGACAGCCAGGGGGGATGCTGGGATGTTTCCCAGGCCGTCCTGGAACAGGTGGACCACGAGCATCAATTTTTAACAAAACATTTTTGTAATTATAACATAAGTCTCCATGGAATGTAATACAATATAGACAAAAAGTTAAGAGACAAAAGAAAAGATTAAAGTTTTTTTAGTTCCATGACAGAAATATGCATACTTATTACTTATTCAAATTTAATGTTGAAGAGTTTTCAATAACCGGTTTATTTTGTATTAGAGATTTAAAATGTGATCGTGTTTGAAGATTTGCTTGGATCTGTTTTTGTTTGTTTGAATATAATAGATGGTAATTTATTTCCATGAATGTAAAATGTGGCTAAAATAATGAGCAAATAATGACATATTGTTTTACCGACCAAAATGTTTTAAGATCTGGGCGGAACAAAATTCGTCAAACTAGCGTCAATGTAATACAACGACAATTTGTAATGACAAACTACCACTTCCGGGGAATTCTTTCAAAATACACTGTCAAAACGTGTACATTTAGGTCAACCTCTACGATGGGGTGGTTGAGCTAGCACTAGACCTATTTTCTCCACTAGCACTGGTCAGAACCTATATCATCTCGGTATAAGGCTGAGGCACTTCTCACCATCACACAGTGTGAGCAACGTTAGTAGCAAGGCTACCAACATGTAGCATGTATCCTTGCTCGTTACTGACCGTCCTCGTGAGTCGTCAGTGTTGACAAACGTTACGTCACTGTACGCTGTCGTTAGGTGGGGCGGGCGCTGTGTTGTTGCTATCGTCGTGCGAGACGTTACGATTTATTCTACACCGTCTAGCCTTGGATTAAAACGACGGATAACATTTCACATCCTCGACTCCGCAAAGGGTCCTGCTGTTTGCTAGTTTTTTCTCTTACTATTCCGAGTCAACATGGGGAGCTGCTTAACTGTGGGGCCGAACGAAGCTCTGGTGGTCTCTGGTACGGTGTCCCTCTTATTACTGAACGGAGCTAAACTAGCTGTCATTTCGATATAAGAGCTAACGGACTAACCGTTAGCTGGTGTCAGAGGCGAACTGGCAAATGTTTTTTCTTGCTCTTGTTTAAAGAAAGATAGCTTCACTGCTATATCAGATAACAGTCTGATAGACACTGTATGAATATACTAAATCTGTGTTAGAAACGTTAATCACGGTTTACTTAGAACGGTGAGGCTAACACCATTAGCAAGCAAGGCAGCGACGGTTGGTTAGCATTATTAGCAGTCATTAATAAACTCAGTACAAACGTCAACTACACTTCATTATAAAACTACAAACGCACGTGTAAATAGTAACTATCAGCTGCTGTCTGTGGAAGCTGCCTCTTCATGTAGGCCCATGATACAGCTGAAGGGGGCGGGTCATCCTCCAATGAACTCGTGCTATAATGTAACGTTAGCTGTGATTTATTGGTGGCACAAAATATCACAAAGCTACTGTACAGTAGTGGCTCCCAGTATTGTTTGGCTAGTGACTCCTAAAACAGCGATGTCTACTTGTGGCCCACCGTCACCAGTTGCTAGTGGTGGAAAGTAACTAAGTACATGTACTGAAGTACTGTACTTGAGTACAATTTTGTCACACCTGTGCATTAAGTATTTTTATTTTGGGCTACTTTATACTTCTACTTCACTTCATTTAGAGGGAAATATTGCACTTTTTACTCCACTACATTAATTGGACCAATGTACTAGTAGTATACAAGGTTTCTCAAATCAGTTCCAAAATGACAAACTGTTTTAATCTGGGGACCTGCTTCTGACAGACAGATGCTTGTTGAACAAACCCTCACGCTACATGCATTTTGTTTTAATGCAACTGTTCCTCTTCCCTCAGGTGGCTGCTGTGGCTCTGATACAAAGACCTACGCCGTGGGAGGCTGGGCCTGGGCCTGGTGTCTCATCTCGGACACCCAAAGGTGACAACATAGTAAAATCATACGGTCCATTCATGATATCTCGAAACGGAGTTGACTTTCAGTAGCTCCTTGAAATGCTTTTGTGCCGGCAAGTGCTTCTCATGGCAGATAAGTGGATTATAATATTGAAAGCTTTCTGTTCAAATGCGTTCAGACCACAGCTGAAATGGGCTTTAGCTGTCTTGGATTTCCACAGGGAAGTCAGTCCCATTATCTAAAGAGTTGTCTGTAAGCAAGTGGAGGAGGAAAGCTGGTCTTCCGTTCTCTGTCTACTGTTCCACGCTGTGTTGTTGTTTCCAACGCAAACTGGTACAAAGGTCTCCTTTTCACGTCAGCCTACACATTCACATTGTTCTAAGATGAGTAGTTGTGCTCGACTGTTAAATGTGCACTGTCACAAGACAGAGGGACATTTCTCAGATACATTTTTTTTGCCTCTGTTGTCGTTGGCTGCTTGATTTTCACCTAGTACATACTAGTTCTGTTTATTTGGACCTCTCTTTGTTCAGCTTTGTTGTCCTTGTTTTTCGCTGTATGTCTACTTCTGTGTATGTACAACGAGAGCAACATAAAACCGGAATCAAACACTCGGCCAACAAAGCGGACTCTGATTCTAATGCACAACCAGCGTCAGATTCTCAGCATCGAAACAAAAATGAGCATTTAACATCTACAGGTTTTATTCCATTGTTCCACAGCTTGCTCTCATCACTGAATGTGTCTTTTTGCTGCAGGATAACCCTGGAGATCATGACTCTGCAGCCCCGATGTGAGGATGTGGAGACCGCAGAGGGGGTAGCCATCACTGTCACAGGGGTGGCTCAGGTAAGACCGCATGCCAGGGTCACACACATGGACCGGGCCGGGTTCAGACCAAGTCTGACTGAATCTCAACGTCTTTATACTCACTGACATGTGTCTTTAGTGCAGAATATCGAAAACAGCTGGAATCTGATGTCTGGTTTACTTGTTCTGTGATCAGATACAGTAGTTAAATATTTGTATACTATAATAAGTTTATACTCTTTTATTGAGGCAAAGTTGTGCGGATTCTTGTGTCGAGACTATATTTAACATTTGAGACCTTTGGCCTCTCTTGTTAAATATAAAAAGTGTTTTTGTTGAAGTGAAAAATATAATTTAGCTATTAGTACCAAAATCAGTGTATCAGCACTATGAAATAAACAAATGGAATAATGCACAGCTATTATTACTATTTAGCTTGTTTGTATTTCTTCTCATTTTGTTATAAATGTGATGTTTTCTTTACCTCCAAATGCGAGTTTGTTCGGTCACCAGATGAGCTGACGTCACTGTGTCTTGTTCAGGTGAAAGTGATGACGGAGCATGACTTACTGGCCGTGGCCTGTGAGCAGTTCCTGGGTAAATCAGTCACGGAGATCAAAGCTGTGGTCCTGCAGACTCTGGAGGGACATCTGCGCTCCATTCTAGGTACGGACGTGCATCGCGTTTCAACAATTGTGTTTGTTATCATTCAGAGACCTGAATTTGTTTCCTGACAGGCCTGTGTAGATAATATACGAGAGTGGTTTTGGATTCATCTTCAAGATAGTAAAAAATGTCCAAGGTGACGTCTTCAAATTTCTTCTCTTGTTCGACCGATAAACCAAACCTCAAGATGTTCAGCTTACAAATACATACACCCGCAAATAAGCAGATATTCACAATCAGAGGCTGGAGTCTTTGTCAGTTAAAACATGACTTAAACCATTCATTTGTTTGAAAAAAGATGACAACTTAAAAACTGTATTAAACAACAAACTGTCTTTGCTCTAATTCTTCAGGAATATTATTAAAACCTAATGAGCCATTGATGTTTGTGTGTGTTAATGATTACATGCTTCTCTAAAGGGCTAAGAGAACTCTGATGCCCTCGTTGTTACACAAACCAAAGAAATCTCGATCAAAAAGAAAAAGAAATGCACAACACTGCTGCTAGTTTGTGGAAAGTAGCATTTCAAACAGCGAGGCACACGTGTAAATGTGATGTGCAGATACTGACACCGTCTCTCTTTCGCAGGTACTTTGACTGTCGAGCAGATCTATCAGGACAGGGACCAGTTCGCCAAACTGGTGAGGGAGGTAGCGTCTCCCGACGTGGGCAGGATGGGCATCGAGATTCTCAGCTTCACCATTAAGGTGGGTGGGCAGTGCTGCAAGAGGCTACGGGAACGATACCTGGAACTCTTGACAGCGAACCAGAACACCTGAAGAAAGTTGTAATGTAGCTAAGGGTCAAAATAATACATATTGGCATGGATTATGAAAATGGAAAACAGCATGTATTTAAATCGATCTGTGGTCTGGATTCAAGAACAACCCCTATTCACGGGCCTGTCCGGCAGGTGTGAGAACCCTCCTCGATGGTGGCCGACCTGGGTCTGGGTCACGGGTCTGAGGAAGAGAAGAAGCATATTTAAGGATTCGAGGATCATTCACTGTCATTATGCAACACGGGGATGCACAACAAGATGTTAATTGACCGTCAAAGAGAAACGCTTGTGCACATGCTTTCTTGAGATCAGCTGAGAGAACATCGACGTATTTCAGAGATCTAAAAGACAGACAACATTCAAAGTCATTTCCAGTCAAGCATCATAAACTTTTAACAGCTGTCCCGCTTGTGTTTATAGTTTCGTGGTGTCCAATAAAGCTGTAAAAATAGTTCAGCTATTTAGGTCTGATGAAATCAAACGAGCTCCTAGAGCACTATTTCAGAAGGTTTGATTAATATTCTTATAATACTATTTATTGTGATATTTCTGCCCACAATAATAGATCCACAGTCACTAGAGCTGAGCGGCAGACCATGTGTTTATAGGCTAAGCAGCACTGTAGCGATCACACAAACATGAGTCAGCAGCTACCCCGTCCTCTATGGAATATGTATCTGTAATATGTTTTGATCTACCATCGAGGCTGCTGCTCATTAGAGAAGTCTTCTCTGGCAGCAGCCTCCCTCCTCCTGTGCACTTCACTGCTGTTGATTAGAACTAATTGGAGTGTGCTGCAGACACAGCGGCTCACCGCACCGCTTAGCTGAAAGCCCAGAGTCCATTTCTTTCACATCAGTGGGTCCAGATGGTTTTGTGTGACGCGTCAGGGCCAGATTAGCGCATTAGTGGAGGCCTCAGACATTTGTGGGTTGTCTTTTCAGTATTTATTTGCTGTGGATATTATTTGTAAAAACAGGGAGTTCCTTTTATGTGGTTGTTGGACGTAGCTGAGACCTTGCAACCAATCAAATGCTTCCTGTGAATGAGGCAACTCTTTTAGTGCAGGCGTGGAAAATCAATAAACTGTTGCGACGCACAGATCGAAGGTCTAATGTGTGATCGCAACCGCAATCAGTGGTGAGAGAAACAGGATATTTAGGTATTCACTACATATTTCTGATAATAATGTTTATGTAATTCTTCTCTTCAGTCCAGCCTCTTCATGAGACTTTGTTAGATTTTGACGTCATGGTTTTATTTATCGCTGCATCCACCGTCTATTTAACTCACACTTGGAAGCCGCCCAGTACAAACACAGTTTACACAGCTACATCCAGAGCTCCTCACTGACGCTCCAGTCTGCCTTCAGCCTCTTATGAACACTGAGAGATGATGTATGATGTGTCCGTGTTGTCTGTGCTTTCATCAACAGCTAATGAAGAAGACGAGTACCTGCTCGTCTCTTCGGCTAGCTGTGTTGTTAGATTGCTGCTAGTTCCTGAACTCGGTCTGCAATGGTGTTTCTTCACAAACTGACATTTGTAAAAGTCTGTATCTGGTCGGAGCACACCTGCTCACATACCTTTAGCATGCACTGGGCTGTAGCTTTTCTAAATACAGTGGGTACGGAAAGTATTCAGACCCCTTTAAATTTTTAACTCTTTGCTTCATTGCAGCCATTTGCTAAAATCAAAAAAGTTCATTTTATTTCTCGTT